CCCCACTTGGCCATGGAAACTCACTGGGGGAGTGGAACTGGTAAAACCTCTGCTTAAATATCTCAGTTACCTTGAAAGCCCTATCAGAGTTGCTATAAGTTAATTGCAACTTCATGGCACAGAACATAACAACAATAATGGTAAATTATTTGGAACAAGCTCCATAAGACAATGTTGCTAAATAAAGGTGGCCCTCAGTGGGTTTCACTGCTAAGCAACAGAACTGTTCCTTAGCTTAATGGTAACACCCTTTTATGCTACGTCCTTTATTGCCATCTTGTAATTGCATTTTCCCAAGCAGATCAGTTCTCAAAAGTATTTACACTTTATCTGAACTATTAATTGCTCTTCAATAAGGTCATCTACTTTTATAACAAATATTGCTCTTGATTTATTCTACCAGGCTATACTAACAACACTCTTATTATAGAAGAAGAGCTCACCCTCATTTGCAAAGAAAAGCTTTAGTCATTAGCTTCCCAGAAACAAGGAAATACTTAGTAAGAGATAACAAAATCTCTAGTCAAACAGAATGTCTTTTCCAATTATTAAATCACCTACTATAGATATTGAAAATACTCTCCCCCATAAACCCTCTTAACACATCATGAAAGCAATCCAGTGATCTCCTTCCAAGATCAAAGATTTTTACAGATTATCATACTACAGTTTGCTGCTTGAGATAAAACAGCACTAACTCAAGCAGCAATCAGTTGCTGGCTTAGTACTAAGAAATTCAGCAGGACAGAGATGATAGCTATGCTTCAAGAAACTCTTCATTTGTTTTTTTAAGAGCAGATGTGCACTCTAGCTTTAAGAGATTGATCATGAAATCTTAAAATGAGAGACAATGAAGTGGACCACAGAGTTGCACATAGATGAATGCAAAATGAGGTTTGCTGGCATTCACTAAGAACTGCTAACAACAATACAAGTTGCCTAAATCAAGTTGCCTAGTGCGCACACACACACACACATCAAAAACTGTAAACCCTGAAAAAATGTTGAAAATAAGCCATGTAGCGTGCTCATAATTTGCCACATATTGTCTATTTCTGAAGAGCACTCAATGCAAGAATAGGAAACTTTCCCACTAAAATGAAATGGCAATTTCCTAGGGTTTGTGTACTGTGGTGTGCTGAATAGTACTCATGGCGCCAAAGAAAAAGCAGAGCAAAGGGAAAAAGAATATCTCCATTGAAATGAAAAAGGACATCATCAAAAAGCATGAAGATGGCATGTGTGTAACTGAACTGGCCGCTGAACACAAGATGGCAAAGTCAGAAAGATGTCTTGAAAGAAACTGATGTGGCAAAAGGAGACACAATCATAATCAAAGAAAGGTCACCCCTGATGGAAGAGGTGGAAAAGCTTTGTGGATGAAATGAGGAACAGCTGGAAGGGGAAAGCATCAGTGAAACCATGATCTGTGAAAAAGTGAAGAAGCTGCACAGTGATTTAATGGAAAGAAATCCATCCGGAAGTGCAGCGCAAGAAGAATTCAAAGCCAGCAGTGGGTGGTTTCAAAAGTTCCAAAAGAGAAGTGGAATCCATAGCGTGATAAGACATGGGGAGGTTGCAAGTTCTGACCATGCAGCTGCAGAAGCCTTCAAGTTGGACTTCATCAAATTCATCAAGGAAGAAGACTACAGTACTTCCCCCAGCAAGTTTTCAACTGTGATGAGACAGGACTGTTCTGGAAGATGCCCAGGAGAATCTTCGTAACTCAGGAGGAACAGAAAATGCAAACCTATGGAGGACAGACTGACCCTTTTGCTGTGTGCCAACGCCACCAGCCTCTGCTGGTGTACCACTCGCAGACTCCTCGTCCGTTCCACTGAGAGAAAGTTAACAAGGCCACACCTTCTGTCATGTGGAGGGCCAACGCAACAGCTTGGATGACAGCTGCTTCTGGAATGGCTCTGTGAAGTGTTTCCACCCACTGTCAAGAAATATCTTTCTGACAACCAGCTTCTTGAGTGGTGCCTTCTGCTGATGAACAACACCCCAGCACACACACACATCCTTGGTGGGTGATCTCAACGAGGAGTATTATTTTATCAGGTTCAAGTTCCTCTCCCCCCCCCCAAACACCTCTTCTGCAGCCCATGGACCAGCAAGTGATCAGCAACTTCAAGAAGCTGTACACAAAGGCACTCTTCACCAGGTGCTTCAATATCATCAAGGAGACATCCTTGACCCTGAAAGAATTTTGGAAGACACATTTCAATGTCCTCCGCAGCATCAGACTCACTGACAAGGCCCGGCAAGATGTCACAACTTGGACCTTGAACTCAGCCTGGAGGAAACTGTGGCCACAATGTGCCAGAGATAGTGACACTGAGGTGACTGATTCACAGGTGGTGAGGGACATCATCTCCATGGGTGAAGACATGGGTCTGGATGTCGATGACGAAGATGTAGAGGAGCTGGTTGAAGACCACAGAGGGGAGTTGGCCACAGAAGAACTTGCAGAACTGCAAATCCAGCAACAGAAGGCTCCTGTGGAGGAGCTTTCCACTGAGGAAGAGGCAGTGCAAGTCAGTAGCGAGGAGATAAGATCCATCTGCAAGAAATGGACCGAGTACCAGGACTTCTTTGAGAGGCACCACCCAAAGAGGACTGTTACAGGAAGAGTTATGGACATGGTAAACGACAATGTGGTCAGCCATTTCAGAAAGATTCTGCAGTGCAGGATGAAGCAGTCAGAATTGGACAGATTTTTCACCAGGATGGAGCCTGCAGCCAAGAGACAGTGACAGGGAACCCCTGGAGAGGATGAACCAAAGGAGGGTACCTCTACCTCATAGTGATGACTATCTCACCACCCACTTGCCTGTCCTCCAGAAGTCACACACCCAAAGCTAAGTGATCTCTCTTTTGTTTAAAAGGTGCTGGTGGGTGGGTTTAAAAGGTGTTTGGTTTTAAAATGTGTTTTGTTTAAAAAGTGTTGGGTTGGTTTAAAATGTGTTGGTTTAAAATGTGTGGGTTTAGCATGTGTGGGTTTAAATTGTGTTTTAGACTCCAAACTCTCTCCCCCCATTGTCTTCTCTCTCTCTCTCTCCTCTCTTTTTGTGCTTAAAAGCACAAACCTTTGTCTGAGGGGTTTGTGTGCCCCAGTGATCACCTTCTTTCTTTCCTCTTTTCCCCACTGTTCCCTCCCTCCTTTCCTGCCCCTTTTTAACCTAAATCATCTTAAATTAAAAGGAGAAAAATTCTCCCCCTAGTGGTAGAGGACAGATCAACCGCTTTTGCATTCGTTCCTATGGGAACGAATGCTTCTACTTACAACCAGTGCCTCTACATACAACCAAAAAACAGCCGGAATGGATTAATCGGGTTTCAATGCATTTCAATGGGAAATGCTGATTCGACTTATGAACATTTTGAGTGACGACCATCTTCTGGGAGGGATTGTGGTCTTAAGTCGAGGCACCGCCATTCTACTTCCAACAGTAAAATAAAGGGTACCTCATCAACATATCTTTCTTCATAGACTGTATTTTTGTGTGAATTATCACCCACAATATTCTACTTTATAATTTGCTCTTGTGTATGCAGATCTACAGGGACAATAACTGATTACAACATAATGATCCAGTAAACTTATAATGTACAACTTTCGCACTCTATACTCTACACATAAGCTTCATACATGTTGCCTCCTCTGAACATCCAGCAAGTGTTCTCCATATTCTACTGTATTAGTGAAAAACAGTTGTACGTCATTCTTAGGAAACCTGATCCTCCCAATACTGGCAGTTACTAAAACAGTTTGGTCTTAGTCATTTTATTATATGAGAACCAAGACTTGCTCCTATGTATGTACCTAGACTACACAACTCTTGAAAATCTAATATGTCTGAATATATTAGAGGACTGCTTGAAGTCACATTCAGGAATGCTCTCAACAAAACTGAGAGAATTCTGTCCTGAAAGAGGATAGAAAGGGCACTTGAAACTTTCAAACTCATAACTCCAGAAACAACATGCATACTCTTCAAAAACTTACCATTGCCAGGAACACAATAGATACCTTACAGTTAACCCTGAAAGAATACTGTACTGTCATCATAGTACATACAAAAGGATCATGCTGAATAACAGTAAGGCTCTGATTTTAAACGCACTTTGGAATACTTGGGTGTATCTCTTTAAATGCTTGAAAGGCAAAATTCGTATCCTATTTTTTACTTCCCCTCCCCTTTCAATAATTCAAAATCCGTACAAAACACCACATGACAAATCTATCTAGCGTTTGTCCTTTTAAATGATTAAGTTAGTAATTCTTTTCTGTTGAAGGCAAGTTTATGAACAGACATCTATTTCCTTGGCTGAACCGATCGTAGGAAGAAGCAATTTGCTACCGATTTCTTTCTCTTTTTTTTAAAAAAGGAAGCTTTCTGGAAAGGGAAATATTACACCAACTCGGCGAACAACACAGTGCAGTCACTGAGCGACTCCAAAGGCGCAGGGACGAAGCTCTCCATTTTCCTAACGCACTTCGCAGCGAGAAAACAGGCACAACAGCAGCTCCATTTGCTGCCGATCCTGCCGCACAGACGGAGGTGCCCCATCTTAGATCCCACGAGGGCGGCTGACCAGCCATTCCTTTTCTCCTCCCCACCCCCGAGGCAAACGCTCCGACGGCCCCCCAAGGCCCCCGGGGGCGGAAGCCTCGGCCGCCTCTCCCTTCGCTTTTTTCGCCCTAAGCCGCGTTTGCCAACTTTTCCTCCAACTGCTACCTCGCCGTTAAGTTGCACTGCGAGGGAGAAGAGGCGCGCCGGCGTCAAGCCTCATTCCCCTCAGCCCCGAGAGAAACTGAGGAGCGTCGTCGACGAAGACCGGGAGGCCAGGCACCGACCGGGCCCCTGGCGTCGGCCTCCGCTCTCCGACGGGTGACCTCGTTGCTCCGGAGACGGCGGCGGCCACGGCCATCTCAGCCCACACAAACTCTCGCTCTCTCACGGACACACACACACACACACACATTTACTTACCGGCATCATCTTGGCCCCGAAACGCATTGAGGCGGGTGATGCCGCTTCTTCCCCTCTGGGACCAAGGGGGAGACCAATGGCTGGGGCCTGGGGAGGCGGAGCGGCCTGCCTTGCTTCCCGAGGAACCTGTTGCAAGAAGCGGTCTGGCCCGTGTCGTTGTTATTCTCCTCCCGGCGGGCGGCGGCCGTTCGGCCTGCGCTGCCTTCAGACCCGGGGCGCCCAAAACACAAACACACACACAACCCCCCCTCCCGCTGAGAGCCGTGGGTCTCTCCCTTCTCAGACGGCCTCGCTTCTCTCCGACGAAACCTCGGCGGCCGCCACCTTCCAAGCCGCTCCGAAACTCTCTCCTCAGCCGGCCCGACAGGGAGGAGCAGCAAAGGTCGGGCGGAGTCCCACCCCCAAAGCGGGTGGGGCTCCGCGGGGGAGAAGAGAAGGGCGCCTCCCGCCTCTCCGCGCCCTCCCTCCGTTCCCGAGGCTGAAGGAAATGGGTGCCTTGGGGCTCCAAGAGGAATCCCTGCCTCGACTCAGGGGCAGCCTCTCTCCGCTCTGAGGAGATGCTAAGGTGGGGGACTTGTGGACGCTTCCCATTCTTCCCTCATGTAGCTGGGAGGAGACTTCATATGACTCCTCTTGTTTAAGTACAGCAACAACAACGAACGATACTTCGACCTGTGAAGATAATCCAGCACAAAACTGTCGCGGCATTATTATTGATATGTTACATCCTCCATGGTGTTCAAACCAGGGAACATGGCATGGCTCGTCGCATCCTTTCCCCCATTAGGTTCTCACGATCCTGTGAGAGAGATGGCTGCCTGCGACGGTCCCAAGGCCGGTCCCAAAAGGGAGGGGGGCTGAACTCTGCCAAGTCCCAGTCTAACGCTGGGATTGCTTCGTCGTCGTTTAGTCGTGTCGGACTCTTCGTGACCCCATGGACCAGAGCACGCCAGGCCCTCCTATCCTCCACTGCCTCCCATAGTTGTGTCAATTTCATGTTGGTTGCTTCGCAGACACTGTCCAGCCATCTCATCCTC